CGTGGCTCTGTGGCTGCTCAGACTTGCCTTGCAGTGATAAAGCGTGTGAGGTTGGGCTTGGCAGTAGCGTGGTGCTGGGCTAAAGCAGCCAGGGGGCTGGTGCCTGGGGCAGATACCCAAGCAGGAGAATCTGTACTCTGCTCTGACGTTCAGCACACTTGCTCTGTCTGCACACTCCGAAGGTGATGCCTTTCAGCCAAGGAAGCAGCTCTCTGCTCGTTTTTGCATGTTTTCCACAAGGAATGTTTTATACTGTTGGGTAAAAAACCAAATGGGTTTTCACCTCGCTATTTTAGCTCAGCTCCTGTCCCTGTTGGTGGGAATATTTTACCTTCTGTTGAAATGTCTCTTGCTGCAGTTGTATTGTGTAGTCTGTGTGCGGGATAAGGGTCGTGCCCATAGGGTGTGACTGCAGTCTGGTTAGATGCCTGATTCTACTTAGTTTTCACTCTGAGGTAATTTGGATCTCTGAACTACCTAGGACTGCATTAATGTGACCACCAGCCGAGTACTGGACTACTTTTCCAGTGGGTAGTCTGCTTTTTCCAGTATTTTTTGCTTTCAGCATCCTTCCAACTGCTCGTGGGACAGCTTAACGTGGTGCTTTCTGTATTAGGCATCTCCATGAATGAGATCCCAGTTCTGCACCACTGTGAGGACTGAAAATTCAGCTGTGAAGCTCTCTGCTCTCCTTGGTTTTATTTTGTTGCTTTCATTTTTTTTTCTTTACAGGACAGAAAGTAGTTGTGAAAGAATTCAGTGGAAAGGTGTTCCTGGAATGTGTGACAGACAAGAAAGGTCAAGTCACCTGGCTGAAAGATGGGAACAGGATTGAAAACGTAACACGGCTGGACTTGGGCGCAGCTCACGACGATCCCAGAGGTGTCTACATGTGTGAGGTTGGGAGTGGAATGAGAAGCTCTGCCCTCCAGGTGCACTACCGCAGTAAGTGTTGCACACCCACCTCCTGGACCCAGAACGGCTCGGAGTCTTCACTCTGGACTGGGAGAAGCAGCTGAGCCCTTTGGGCTCAGGGTGGCCGAGGGGCAGGGCCCTGCTCGTGGCCCTGTTTTCAGTGCCTGTGTCCTTCTGGGCTTGCAGTGTGCCAGAACTGCATCGAAGTGGACGCTCCCACCATCTCGGGCATCGTGGTCGCCGACGTCGTCGCCACCGTCTTCCTGGCGGTCGCCGTGTATTGCATCACTGGGCACAACAAGGGGCGCCTGTCCCGAGGTGAGGGGAGGGGGGAGGGCCCTGCCCCCTGCCCGTGGGTGGCCAGGGGGGTGCCCGGGCCTCTCTGGGAGCTGCGTGGTACTTTAGGACTTTCCATCAGTGCCCGCAGAGCCCAGTCGCTGCAGGCGGCACCCAACACAGCGTCCCGAGGGTGGGGATCCCCGTGAGCTCTCCCTGTAGCCTTCCTGCCCCTGGCTCAGCTTCAGGAGAAGCTAGTGAATGTACAGGATTAACCAAAATGTCACCCCAGGGGCAGCAGATGGGAACATGGGAACATTTGAGCCCTGCAGGGACTTTCTACCAAGCCTCCCAGAGGGAGTAACAAGCACAGGGCTGAAAGCAGCTGACTGTTTGGGTTTGTTTGCAAACATTTACCACGCTGTCCCTGACTCCCCTGATCCCTGACCATCTTCTTTCATCATTTAGCTTCTGACAGGCAGAACCTGATTGCCAACGAGCAGGTTTACCAGGTGAGCATGGGTGTGCACGTGGGCTTCAGCACGTCTGTGTGGTGTGGGGCAGGGCAGGGGTGGCCGTGGCAGCACAGCTGCTGGAGGACACTTGATACTTCCAGGCATTGCGCTGTCTCGGGGGTTGCTCTGTGCTCAGGCATTCACAGCCCCCTCCCCCTGAGTGACCCAGAGCATGGGGCAAGCTCAGCTACCCCCTGCCTCCTGCTTTCTGGGGTTGTTAAGCTCTGTGTGCGAGGAGGGAAACCTTGCCAAAAGCTCGGCCAGCTTTCCCCTCTACCCTCCCAGGGCTCCAGAGACACAGTCGTAGCTCATCTCACCTCTCTTTCCTTCTAGCCCCTTGGCGAGCGGGACGGTGGACAGTACAGCCAGCTGGCACCTGCCAAGGCCCGCAGATGAAGTGGGAAGATGGTAGAGCCTGTGAGTCCTGCCCAGCAGCAGTGCCCAAGAGTGTGGGCACCCTGCCCTGGCACTGCCTTTGTGGGCTCATGGCTGGCAGAAGACAGTGTGGGTTTCTGTGTAGGGAGCCCTCTGGCTCCTTGCCAGGATGGGCTGCCTGTAGCTCCCTGCTCTTCCTGTGACCTCTTCAATTCCTGCACTCCTTTCATTAAAGATGAGCCTGTCCTGTAGCCTCCCTGCTCCATGGATTGTGTTCAGGCCTGGGGAGCCGTGCAGTCGCTGGGAAAGGTGCTGGCTGGGTGCCATCTGCCTGGGTGCCTGCAGAGCTGTAAGGCTCCTTCCATCCTGGTAGGACAGTGCTGTGCCAGTGCAGGCAGGTGCCCACATCTGTGCCACCTCTCTGTGCTGGGGTCTAAACGGCATCTGGGTCTGTTGCTAAAGCTGAGGATGAGCAACTCGTGAAGGGAGAGGGCTGGCACCCCTGTCACTGGCAGAGGTGTTGTGTCATTTAACTCCCCTTCCAGGATGGGGAGTGGGGATGCTGGAGGTCTGTGTCACCCCTGCAAAGTGCCTGCATGCCTCAGGCCCCTGGACAGAGCTGGAGGGCTGGCAGGAAGGAGAACAGGAGGATGTTTCCTCTGCCCATGTAGGGCTTGGCATCTAACTGCAGTCTTCAAACTGCAGAGGCTTGCCCGGTCCCTGGCACCCAGCCAGCCTGCAGGTTGTATCAGTGCTTGGGGGGAAAAAGCATGAGCAAAACAGCAAGTTGTGCTGTCTCCCCAGGAGAGCTCACAGGGACTGGGCCCAAAGAGGAAATGGAAACAGCAGAGAGGACAAAAACTGCAGCAGAGATGGTACAAAACATGTGGCAGCACAGCTGGCCAGGCAGCAAAAGGCAAGAGCAGTCCACACTCCCTGCACACCCAGTGCTCCTGGGAGGCTTTGCCACCCTCTTACACCTCTGCAGCCTGCTGGAGAGTGACTCACCCTTGTGACCAGGTCATGGCAACCCCTGTTTCAGGCCCACTAGCCATCCTGGCGTGCTGAGTATGGAATGCAGTCCAGAGCCTTTCCCAGCACAACCACCTTTCTGGATGCTGGGCAGCACTGGGTCTCCCCACACCAGCCAGCTTCTCCTGGCAAGATCCCTGCTCCTTGGCTCTGAGCAGAAACAGCCAATGTGCTCTGACTATGGCCCAAACAGGAGGCAGATAACAGAAAGGATCAGCTAGCAGTTAAAAACCTCAGAAACCAGGTCACCCTGCCTGTGCTGGTTGTGTGCACCTGTAGCTTGTGCTCTGCTGCTTTCCTGAGAATCTGGGTAACGGGCTTTAGAGAGAGCACCAGGCTGTGAATTGTCTTGTGACTCAGCAGTGCAAAGGAAGCACCAAAAGAGTTAATGCTCAATTAAAAGCAGGCCACGAATCTGTGACACATCTAGCAGAGCAAACAACACCCAGGCTGTGCAGAGCTGTGGGTGCACACCACGTGCCCTTAGGGGAGATGGGGTGTGGTCAGCCTCGGGGAGGGGGAGCCCAAAAGGACCAGTTTTCCTGTGCTGTCAGCTCTTTATGTGAGGGCATTTTCCTCTGCATAGGAGTGGGATGACATCTTGGTGTTTTCTCCTGCTCTACTGAGGGGTGAGCCTGATACAGCCATGGCAGAGAGAATGTGCCAACACCTGCCTTTGGTCTGCAAAGCCAGATGTGTAGGACCTTTTAAAAAGATTGACCAGCAGCCTGCCGAGTTCATAGCACTTCCACCACCACTGGATCTCAAAGCAATGAGCAGAGGTGGCTAACCACATGCAAAGAGCAGGAAAGACCAGGAGCAGAATGGGTGGGTCTGTTCTGCACAAATCAGAGAGCCTGCAGAGGCAACGTCTGCAACTCATCTGTCTGTGAGAGGCTCGTCAGCACCTCACCCTTGGGAGGACAAATGAATATTTTTGTAGTGCATCTAAGCACAGAGATGTTGTTACTGCACGGGTGCTGATCCCAGAGAGATAAGGAGAGCGTGGGAGGGCACTGGTTGGGGCAAACCCTAGGCTAAGGTGCAGCCCCATAGATGGGGGCAGAAGCATCGAGGTGTGGACTGAAGGACAATTTAGACCTCGTATGCCCAGAGCAGTCCATGCTCCTCACATCCCATTTGTGGCAATGGGCTGCACAGTGGAGCTGAGCAGCCATCCCTGGAGCAGTGATGCCTTGCAGAATCTGAGAACATGGCCCAGAGTGGTTTTAGAGCTGCCAGCATTTAGGGTTCATCATATCTTGCAATCTCTCTCCTGGATGTTTAGTGCCTTGTATGTTAAACCCAGCTGCGCTGCCTTTAAAACCACATCCTGCACGGTAAGCACAGAAATCTGAAGCATGAAATGTGCTGGGTGTTCATCTCCCCATGCTGAAACTCAAGGGTAAAACCACCCCCAGTCCCCATCACTGCTGCTGTTTCCTTTCCTCAGAGCTGTTGGCTCTGCAGAGCAACAGAAATGGGACTCGCTCAGTTAGTGTTAGACCAGAATCATGCCCAGGTATCAGAGCATCTCTTGGGCCCTTCTAAAGTTTGTGTCTGTCCTGTTGCTAATGCTTTGCAAACCAGCAAAATTGGGCAGATTTAAAATCTGTATGTTGAGGGCATGGGACATAAGGTGTTTTGTTTGCCCCCAGACCAACTCCTGTCTCCTGTTGACCCAGGCCCTGCTCTCCTAGGCACAGCAGTGCATCTTTCTGTGTGTGGCTGTCCCCCCTCCACCCTGGCACAGTCTTCTCCCAAAACCCACGCAGGCTGCTGCAAGGTGAGTCACCACAGGCCCACAGAAGCTCTCTCTGTCTCAGAGTACTGCTGACCTGGGAACTCCCCTCAGCAGAACCTCTTTAGCAGAGATGAACCCACATGAAATATTTTTGAAGGCATAGCTAGGGGTGCTGTTTTCTATTTTATTAATATATTACAGTTTTAAAATGTAAATAAAAAGGTTAAAACAGATCTTTACCAATGGCAAAGAAGTCTGATATCTTTCTAACAGAACCTGGACAGAACTCAAATTACAGAGTTGAAATGGGGAGGGAAAGGGCAGCAGCAAAGGACACATCACAGGATCCCTAAGAGCCATAGCTCTGGAAAATGAAACTCCACTAGCAGATGTTCTTGTATACCCCATAGGGTACAAAACACTCAAAGAAATGTGTTTACCCTGGATTACACTGTAGAATATCAGTAAAAATGGAGTCCACAAAGTCTTTGGGATGAGGACAGCCTAGCAAAAGGGTTTGGTGCTCTCTTGGATTTTGTAGGTCCCGGGGTTTATCTCTGTGGCCCAGATGCACTCATTTCAATTCCAGTGAACATGCTGTTTTGGAGAAGAGTGCAAGTCTTGGGGCTGAGCCAAAGGGTCTCAGTTCCAGACTGGGAACCATGAAAATCCCTGTTCTCTGCAAAGCTGATGCTCGTTGCTAAGCGGAGGCTCAAATCTCAGCTGAACTATCGAAGAACTCCACTATTTAATAGCAACAAAGATTTAAGCCAGGCACATAAGTTTCCTAATATTTCTTCAGTTTCCTTTCAGATGGCTTGGGAAGGCACCAGACCCTCACGTGGCCCTATGAGGGTGTTCTCCTGAAGGTCACTGGATATCAAGTGGTGCTTGGCCCCCCACCTTTCGTACAGAAGAAGGGCTCAGGGCTGTACAGGTTGGTCTGCATGTACTGGTAGAAGGCTTCTCATTCTTTTTTTTTAAAGGAAAACTGTTCCTTTTGACTGAAACATTTGCATTCAGAGCAGTGGGGTTTGTATGAAAATGTACTGGTTTGTTTTTTAATACACTGACTGCCTCTGTTCCTTCTGCTCCAGTCCTGGGCAGCAAAACACAGACAGGCTATGAACGTGAGAGTGGGACACGGTCAGAGGGCAGTCACTCTGAGAAGGGCCCCCTCTGCCCACTAGCTACTCAGGGAGCCATGGGGAGCAACTGGAGGCACTTAGGGCAGAAATTAAATGGGAGGAAAAGCAGAGCATGCAACTGGAGCAGAGAGAGGAGCATGAGGGGGAAAAGAAGGAACCACGGGTGGGGCTGCAGTCCTTTAATGAGAAGGGAAGCTGCTCTTGCCAACGTGCTCCTTTGTTTCCTTTCCCTGATGTCAAACCAAAGGCTGAAGGCTGAAGGATCGTGTCGGGGTGCAACCATGGATGGCAGCAGGGTGCTCGTCTGGTGGAGCTGCCTGGCTTACCCCTAGGTACCTGGGCCCTGGCAGGTCTGTGGAGAACTGGTACCAAGCCTGGCAGAAGCACACAGCCCCTCCACTGCTGCCTGCCAGCCTCTCCTCTGGGGGGATTTCAGAAGCCCCTGGATTCCAGGCCTGCATACACTTCCCGCTGGCCTTTCCGGATGGGCTGTGGGAACAGCAGAGATGTTAGCTTGGGGAGCCTCACCAACACACCTTCAAACAACACCAGAGGCTTGGCCCACACAGGACGTGGAGAAAAGCCCAGCAGAGAGAGCAGATGCTGCTCTGGTGCACGGGAAGGTGCAGTTCTGCACCCAGCTCCCAGAAGGACCTCCACCTTCCTCTGCTCCCAGTAAGCCTGGAGGTTCACTAGGTGCTTCTTCAAAGGAGCAAAAAGGATAAATGCAAAGAGAGATGGAAAAAATTCAGGTGCTCCATACCTCATAGTCTGGGTTTGGAACAGGAGGAGGACGCTGCATCTTCTGACCTGCAACAGAGGCAAAGAGAGGTCACCCTTTTGGTGATGGTTCACAGAACACAGTACGAGGGACTTTGACAGCAATGATCCCAGGGTAATGCATACCATGGGTCAACTCACATGGCTTTATTATGAACTTAGAACTTTTAAAGACCCAACTGCTGCAGGCAGGAGGCCTTCCAATCACTTAGGAGGAAACAGGCTTCCTTTAGAGAGGCTAAATTGCTTGAGACAGCAACTGAGTGGGCCAGGGCCAGGCTGGGTTTGCAAGCTGAGCCTGCACTGTATGGAGTGTGCTTCAGTGCAGGCCCAAGGGTGCTGCACAGCAGCCTGTGAAAGGGTGGCCATGGGCAGGAAGCCTTGGGCACAGCAGGGCAGCCACACCCATCCCGTAGGAGAAGGCAGCCCAGAGCAGCAGATGGGGCAAGCAGGAGAGATGCTTGGTGAGGTCTGGGAGGAAACAGAGGGTGCTCCATCACTCAGCAGGGACAAGTGCTTCACGTAGTGCTTCACAGACACCACGGAGAGCAGAGACCTCAGCAATGGCTCTTACCTCGTGGCCGACTGCCGGCGCTAGCGCTCGCTCCCCCCTTCCTGTTTTTGCTGAAGTAATACACCAGAATCAGCACCCCGAGGGTGATGAGAAGATCTGCAGTGATGATCCCTGTCACTGCCAAGGCGTCCAGCTCCTCGCAGTTCGCACACACTACCAGGAGGAGAGATGCAGGTGCTCAGAGATGAGCGTTCACCCAGCCCAGCAGCACCGAAAATCAGATCTCAGCTCCTAATATCTGCCACGGACACGTGCAGACGTCATGTTTAGCCCATAAACAGAGTGCTTTTTCACTCACCTTTGGCATTCAGGTACATTTCATAGTTCCCAGAATCTGACAGACACGTCACGGTGGCAGGAGTGCTGTCGTGATTCTCTATAACATATTTCCTCTCCTTGCTTTCTTTTTTTGTCCCACTTAACTTCCACTCTATATTGTTGTCAGTCGAGGGACATGTGATTGTCACTGTGGTTCCAGAAATCTCCACCAGGAATTCTTTAATGGAAGATGGGCCAAGGAAAAGGGAAACCAGCATTACAAACAGCTTCTGAGCAGTCCTCCCTGCCCACCCTTGATCCCACCACGACGGTCAGCTCTGCAAAATCTATGATTTCATGGTGTAACATAAAAATCCCTGCATACGTGTCTTTTGCACACATATTTCCTTTAGTTTCTTAGACTGGTTCTTTGCAATGCTAAACAGTATTAGAATGCCAGCACAGGGTGTTCAACCTGATGTCAGAGGCCTGGCCACCTGCCTTTCATCGTTCTGTTTATCCATGTGCTTGCTGGTCTCTGCAAATGGCCAGCCCTGCCTGGGGACCACTAACAGTAATTTGGGGCAACTCCTAGTTGATTTTTCTGATCAATGACAACAGCAACTAAAAAACAGGACTTTTTTTTTTCTTCCTAAAATACTACTTGAGCTCAAATATTTATATCTGCCTTTTAGTCCTCACCTGTGAGGCATCTGCAGCCTTTACCTCATGCTAAATAGTTAAGAGTGCTCATAAAATACACTTACCCTTTGGTGCTTCGTCTTCATCTGCAAAGAAGAGGATAGTGAGTGTTAACAAATCAGCCCACAACTACCTTACTGCTTGTTGCTGTTGGAAAATGCCCAACCCTGCCTGGGGTTCATTAGCAATAATTAGGGACAATTCATGACAGCAAAATTTTCACCTTGGTGTGATCAGTAGCAATTAAGGAACGGGGGATTTTCCTATCCTACAATATTTGCAAAATTAAAATAGTTCCATTTGACTTTTAGTTAGTCCTCACTTGTGAGACATAGTTAGTCTTTTTATCATACTAAATAGTTAAAAATGCTGGTAAAATACACTTACCCTCCTGAGCTGCAGTGCCAGCTAGAAAAGAAAGAGAAATAAGTGTTAAGTGATTTAGCTTCTGCTATCACACACCCTTCCCACTGCAAGGGTATCCTTTCTGAACTCAGGTGCTTGAAAGAGATTTTATTTGCTTCTGTCTGTGCTAAAGGCACTAGAAGCACTGTTAGCTGGGACAGGATGTTGTTTTGAAACGAGGTCTTTTCCTTTGGAAGCCATTTTTAACATGAACTAACGCAGAATGGAAATTTGAGTCATTTTCCAGCCCAGTTTAATAAAAGGATTATTGCAAGCTGTACACCCAATGATTTTGCTTTATTATCATGGACCAAAGACTGCTGGAAAATCATGCTTGGTTTCTGCAGTAAGAACCACTGGCCTCTGCAAGTGTATGCCTGCTGGAGGATGGGCCCTAACGCTTGGTTTAATGCTGTACAGCAGTTTAGGTGATGCTTCTGTCTTGGTAGGAAACAAGCAGCTCCACTGAAATCTCTGGAGCTGGAGTACTATACAAACAGTTTTTACAGAAAATAGTCAACAGCTTTCAAAGAAAACCGTGAGAAACAGCAACAGTTTTTATAGAAAATGTAAACAGTCTAAATCAGACCTGTGATTTGTTTTAAAGAGCTATGTTGATAGAAAGTAACATAAGTAAATAAAGCAGCGACCTGTATTCCAGTGTTCAGTCCTGTTGTCTCAGCCCAGGTAATGCTTTACAACACCAGTTACTTTTTCAAATCTGCCATTTTGTTACTTCCACAGGCATAGGACTTGGCTAGGGAGAAGGTGAACTGATGCTTTTTTCTTTTATATAAGATGAATTGTTAAATTTGAAAAAAGACCAACAGGCCATTGTTTAACCAAATGTTCTCAATCTTCTGAAAAAATAGCTGGTATTTGCAGCACATTGACAGAGTAGCTGCTGTTCTATTGTAGTATCTTTTAATTACCTTTCAAAATTCTCATAGTTACCAGGTTCTTTACAGATACTCTGCACTTCATCCTAAACCAGCTTTCTAAATGCTGGTCATTTCAAAGCAGTAACATGGAAATTGCTCTCAGTCCCCTGATAGCACAGTGAATCTGAACTAAAGTTCAGATCACAAAACAGCTTAGAAAAAGTGCATGATAAAGAGTCAAAATAAAAATAAAACCACAGAACCTTTTAGTTCATGCTGCTGCAGAAAACCATGCATCAAGCTCCAGTGCTGCCGCCTGAAGTTTGAGACCCGGTGTCTTAGTAAACCAGAAAGTAAGCAAAAATTCACTGGGGACCTTGCTTTTCTCCAGCCTGAGAGGTTTGGAGCAGCAGCTCCACAGGGACTGGTTGTGGCACCTGCAGAAGTTGTGGCTGCAGGTACTTTGCCAAACCAGTCTCAAGCTCCTGGGCTGTGTCCTCCCCAGCTCCGGGGCAATCCACCCTCCTGGTCCCTGGGGCTTCTGGCCAGCTGTACTCACCCGCACACAGCAGCAGTGCCAGGAGAGGCAAGGACTGCTCCAGCTTCATCCTTGTGTTCCTCCTCCTCTTGCTCATCTCTACCACATCAGATGGGCATCCCCAAAGCCGGCTGCGAGGGAAGAAAGAGCACGTTGGTTTTTTGAAGTTCTCACTTACAAGAAAGAGGCCCAGGATTTTTTTCCCAGAATTGCATATGGCAACCAACTGAGCACTGCTGGGGACAGTCACTGTTTCCAGCGAAACCCGCAGGCACCCGAGAAAGACACGGAACACGTATGACAAAATGAGCCCATGTCAGGAAGTGTGGAGGCTCAAAACGTCCTCACAGAACGTCACTGACGGCAAGGGGTGGCTGCCCCACGCCAGCCCCGCTCACGTCTCAGGAGATCAGATGTAACTGCCCTAGGAGCAGCAGGAGGGATAACTGAGGTGGGATTAGGTTTGCCATCAGGACCTTCCTAACAACTTTCCAAAGCAAGAGTTTCTGAAGTTCAAACTACTGCAGGTGTCTTAGCACAGGTGGGAATAAAGGAACCAGAAATACTACAAGCACCTAGAGACGCTGCACAGCCAGCAGAAATAAGCCTGCAAGTGCTCAGCTGTAAAACCTGGGACTTTTAGTCACCAATGATGCAATCTGGACTCTACTTTTGTTATTTTGCTGTAACTCAAGTGCCACGTCCACCCATCCTGACAGTGGGGAGCGCAGCTGGAGGTCCCTGCCCTGAAGCTAATGTCCTGCTCCAGACAGACCCTGCAGGACACGCTCTCCTGGCAGGAGGGAATTTGACTGTGCAGCAGTTTCTCTTCGGTTTCAGTGTGAGACTGTAAAAGCAATTCTAGTTTTTCATGCAGGATTTGTACTGGTGGTGCAAATTGCACCGACCATAAAAATCAGCTTTAGCTGGGCTAGGGGAGGGCTGAGGCTGTTTGCAGGCAGCTTCTGTCTCACAGGCCACCGCAAACAGAACGGAATGTGGCACAGCAGAGCCAGCCTGAGCGCCTGAGCCAGCCCTCCACGCACAGTCAGGAGGAGCCCGGAGCCCGTGCCCAGACAGCTCTGCCACCGGCACACCTCGGGGGCTTTGCAGGGCTCCTGAAGTCCTCGGTGCCCTGCCTGCCTCCCCCGGGTTTGCTGGCCCGGGTGGCAGTGGCCCGGCCCCACTAGAGGGGGCTCCTGCCCCTGCCAGCCTCCCCAAGGGCGCCTCCTCCAGAGCCGACGGGCTGCCCTCCGCCCTGGCACTGGGGCAGGGCCCTTGCCAGGCTGTGCTGGCACGGGAGCAGTGAGAATGCCCTGGCTTTCCACTTCCCAGCGCCTGAAGCCACCGAGGTGGCAGAGCTGCTCCGAGGGCAGCGGGGTTGAGGGCAGGTGTCCCCTGGCAGTGCCCCCGGTGTCAGGCAGCACGTCGCCGTCGGGCCCACGCTGCTGCACAGGGACAGTGCCCTCGCTCTGCCCCTGGCCTCGGAGCTGAACTTCAGATGGCCCAGAGGGCTTTTTTCAAAGCACAGAGTGATATAAGGAAACTAACGTAAAGT